AAAACCCCAAAACCCCAAAACCCCAAAACCCCAAAACCCCAAAACCCCAGGCAAATAAAGGTAAATAAAAGTATAAAATTTTAAATATATAAGAATAATGTATAGAGCTATCCCAACAGCAAATAAGCTATTGCAGAAGAGATGGCAGCAGAAGGAGTTCAAGCTTCATAAGAAAAAACTTAGGGAAGTAAAGTCCTGTCTAAATCTCAGGCGTCCCACCTCATTCGGAAGGGTCAAAACCAAAATGAAAAAGTCCCAACAGATAGCACTTGATAGGTACCATGAAATTGATCGTGAAAATCGGATTTTGTTAAACAAGATGGCAAAGATTTCTGAAAGAAGAATGATATACTGGCCTAACACTGCTGAGAAATAGGAGCTTAAATAAAGAAACTCGTAAATAAAGAACTTCTAAGGATCACACTTGAGAACCAGGCTCTCTTGAAAAGGTTGCAGAAACAAAGTAATTATAAGGTGATAAAATGGGAAGAGGAGCGACTCGAAAAAGAGAAATTAGTCGAGAACATCTCAGAGTTCCCAATCAGCCTCTACGCTGGGTATAAAGATCACAGCAGACTTCCCACAGCTGAGATCGGATTCAGAAAACGAGAGAATTTACCTAATATAAAAGGATCTGTTGGCCCAGCTTCTAGGAAAGCAAGCCGAAGGAGGAAACTTAACACTCAGCAAGATTTTTACCGAGCGAGGGAGACCCTTACCGGCACGAACCCAGATGGAACTGACCAGGAAGAAGCGAAGGAAGAACAGTTTCGAGAAGATATCGGTGGACAAATAAATCTTCCTCCTGAGAGAAGGATACTCACCCAAAAATCTCGAAAGATGAATGGGGGTTACTACCTCATTGAAGTGTCTCGAACGGATGAAGTGTTCTATATAACTGCAATGAAGAAGCGTAACAGAAATGAAAATTATCTCATCGAGCTAGAATGGACTAAATCAAAGGAAATCCTAGCCCAATTCCACATAAAGGGTGGGCCCAAAGACCTTGAAAGTGATTATGAACGATTAGTCAATAGCCTGGGCATCTCAGAAGGCCAACTAGTATTAGTTAACCCCAAGTACAACATAAATAAGGTGCTTAAGCGGAAAAGAGTTATGAATAGAGGATCTCAGTCTCAACAACGAATGAGGTTCAGGAAAAATAATGGCAGTCCGTATAAATAAACTTGCTAAGACAGCAGATCGTAAGAAAAGGGAATCTGAAGGTAAGTCAGCCAATCATCTTGAGTAGATCTAAACCAGAAATCTGACACACTGCAAGATAAGCCCGAGGCTGAACCTGAGGCTGTTGATAAAGAAGATGTCAAAATTCAAAACAATGACAGTGTCAGTGTCAGTGCTGATGAAAAAAATAATACGAAAGAAGAGCAAAAAGAGCCAGTGCCAGATCATCAAGAAGATGTAACCTTTTGAAAATTATACTTTAGAATCAACCACAAGATGGCCCTGAAGAAGAACTTCAAGATCCTGTAATTGAGAGCGAGAAGAGTGATCAAAATATTTTTGATAAAAAGGAATCTAGCGAAGACAATGCACTAGACCAAGAAGAAACCCATGGAGTGAAAAATGAGGCAACTGAAAATGAAGCATCTGAAAAAGAAATTGATAAATTAGAAGCTCAAGAACCAGAAGAAAATAGTAAGGAAGACTCTTCGGTGGATAAAGAAAGCCACATTATTGCAGAATTGGACCCAAAAGAGTCAAATATTATGAATAAAGAAGAGGGTTCGGAAGAAGGTTCAAATATTCAAAGGCCTGACTCCTGTGAAGTTATCCCGAAGATAAAGCTGAATAAGGTCAGTAGTGAAAAATCATCACCTGAGAAGAGCTCTGAGCCTGCTAAAGTAGAGCCACCAAATCAGGAGAACGAAGATGATGCTGATTTAAAATCATAGATAATGCCTAAAATAATTAACTCAATATTCTTTTATAATATAGGGGTTTTGGGGTTTTGGGGTTTTGGGGTTTTGGGG